GGGGGGTGTAGGCCAGGAATTTCCGAATGACGAAAAAAAATTCCGAATATTTTATGGTATACGAAGTCACGAAGGTGTTTGCAATCCGGAAAATGAAGACGCAATTTACAAACAAAAATACGTATATTTTACGCACAGACATATTACAGTAGCATGTGGTGCCGTAGGAAGCTCTTTTTGATGGGGGGGGGGGGGCTGAAAATGAGGACCGAAGGCCCGAGGAAATGTTTAAATTTAGAGTCTCTGAAATGCCATTTCCAGGACTTTGGGGGAAGTTTTGACATAATTATGATGGTCAGAAAACACCGTTTTAGTATGTCGAAATTTTCAATTTGCTTACAATTTAGTAGTACTAAATGGGCGAAGGCGTGTTTAAGTAAACCTATATTTTGGGAAAGTTGCATGAAAGTATGGGTAATATGATTCTTTGCAGTTTGTCATGGATAATGTAGCGCGACATAAAATTAATCAATTGTCAGTGTTTCAAGGTATATTATTTAAATTATAAAGGTCTGCATGGTTTTGAAAAAAGAATGATTATTAGCAAATTATTGGGAGGGCTACAACCCCCCCCCCGATTGCTATGGCCCTGAGAAGTAATAAACTGAAGAACATTTACCGATTTACGATTTGTTTAATCTTATCCATGTGATGCCATGATTTCGTAAATCAGTTTATACTAACAATACAATTATATTATATTTTCTCTGTTTAACAATTAAATTTTGTTATCCTATTATTGCCGTAATTTTCCGAATGGCCAACCCGATTTTCCGAATATGTTAATTCTAAAAAAGTTGGGCGGTTAACTCCCCCCCCCCAATACACCCCGCTACGGCCCTGCCTAAAGGCGCAAAATAAAATCAGTAAACGAACGTATATTGCTTGATTTAGCATTAATTTTACTACAACTGGTTAAAAATTAAGCAAAGATTGCTTAAAGATGCTGTGTATATCCACATAGAATCGAGCCCTCTTTTTATTATACAAACAGTTTATTTACGTTTTTATTTCATTTTATGTTCTTGCAAAGCTTGATTGTTGTGTCATGTGATTGTTGTGTAATTGATCATACTCTAGAATCATGAAAATATGAATAGTTTTCGAATAAAATTCTATATTTTGGATACCGAAATGTAAACAAAGCCTTTGTTCACATACGGACTGTACCGCATCTTTAAATATTGCTTAAAAATAGTTCTAAATTCCAATTTCTGCGAATAATGCACAAATGTTGAGGTGCAGTTCTGGCAGAAAGGGCAACCTGTTGCCCCCGTGCTGCCCCCGCAATATTTGGGCAGCGGGGGCAGTTGCCCCCGCTGCCCCCGTGGTTCCGGCGCCCCTGAATATACAGCAAGGACATTGATCACTCAGGGAACCAGCTTGATAAACTTAAAGGGCCCGACTCCCACGTAGCGTCATCATGGTTGGCACAGAGCGGGAAATTTTGCGTCTCTAAATCGTCAGAAATGGCATTTTTAAAATCTTCTCTACCTCTTTTGTTAGGCCGTTTCATTAATTCGTTCATTATGATTTGTGAGTCTATGCTATCCGCGAGTCAGGATGGATTATTACGAGAAATGTTGTTATCAAAATATCGATTACAGATATTTGATTATATATATATACGATTTCAAATACTTCTAGTTTCGAAATCAATTTGGTTTTTTTTGAGTGGGGCCAAAATTATCCAGCCACCCCCCCCCCCTTATAAATCACTGGGTTGGGGGCCCGTTGCCCCCTGCGGTCACTAACTTGTTTAGCCGAGCCTTCCAACAACTCAAATCTATAGGGTCTAGGAAATGCAATCCACTGGAAAATGTTTAATTAAAATCTAATAAGGTATTTACAATACAATGTTTAGCATTAAAGTATAAGACAGGACATCAGATTCACAAAGCAAATTTCAGTTACTACAATATCAACCCTCCCTTCTAAATTCCATGTTTTGCTTATATTTTAGAGAAAAGGGACTTTGACTGCGGTGGCCAAAATGGTTGAGTGGGTGGCCACCATGGGGGCTTTTGAACCAATTTGCCATTCATAGTGCTCCTACTAGACTACAGTACCAGTTTTACAGCACATTTTATAGCACATTTTAGTCATTTTAGATTCACGATTGTCCCACAAAATAAAAGATAGAATAGGCAGTTACGTGCTTTTTGTGAACTGTATGGACGTTATTTTACATAAGTAGAATGTTTTTTTTTGTTTTTTAACAAGCGACAACTGCCTACAAATAAACGAATCAAAATCGTAAGTTTGACCGCATTAATTTTTATAGGTTGTAGCGAGAAGCAAAGCGATCAAGCAGATGTGGATTTTAGTGACTCCGCGCACAGAGCTAGAGATGCACGTAGCAACATTCATACAAGTGATATGTTAGAGGTATAAATGGTGAATTATTAATTCACTGTATTTTTTTAAGTCAATAATGATTCAGTTATAACCACGCCAATAAATGCCGTTCGCTCGCACAATTGGAAAGTTAGTTCACATGAGCCACGCCCCTCTCACTCCCAATATTTTCTGAAAGCCTTTTAATGACTGAAAAACAGTCACAAAGCTGTAAAAATAACATTTCAACTATGTACAAAAATGGCAGAAAAACGATGGTTTCCAGCTACATAAGGTGGCAACCTTATTCCTCCCCCCCCCCCCTCTTCCGTAATTCGCAAGTGTCCGCACTGAAGTACGTGCTCGCACATGCAAATTAATTTTGCGCATCAGAGAAAGCCGCTGGAAGAAATAAATTTCTCTTGAGTCTTGTGATGAGAGCTTGTTAAATTGGAAAGAAACGAGTCTGATCACATTATTAACTATGGTTTAAAATAACAAACAGCAAACAGATCACGACGCTTTTGGTATATGCACAGTTAATAAAACTAGAAGCTACTATCGCAAAGAAAGTGCTGCCTCACCCCGCCTTCCATCACATAAGCACGTAAAGCACCCCTAAAGGCCCATCTACACGATACGACTAGTCATATACGATTCTTATCCTGGCGTATGTACTCGAATAAATGTGTGTAAAAATGTCAAATTTCAACTTCCCCATAAACTGATGAACAGGAATAGTGGCATCGGCAATCGTTTTCATACACCAGGGTAAGAATCGTATACGACTAGTCGTATTGTGTAGATGGACCTTAAGACACCTGTTCTAAATACTCTAATTGTATTGACTTCCATAAATTCCTTACTCTTCAAGAAATTACTTCTTTGAAAATTCCTTCATTCTAAACAAAGATGAAGGACTTTGCAAAAGTCTACAGGTCATGCTATGCAAGTTTTTAATGATTTGCATTATTCAAATAGATGCAGGTTTATTAGCATATCATAACCAGTTGTTATGGCTAGCTTGCATGCCACTGAATACTGTACAATATCATATATAACAAATGATAATAATACTTGAATGAATCATTGGATATGTAGAATTTAATAACAATTTAATAACAATTTCATACATAGAAAATACAACCTGTAAGTCAGTTTTTGTCCCTATTATCATTTTAATGGTACCTTCAAGGCTACCCCTACCGCAGAACAACTGAACAATCTGCCAATGGAGAGACAAAATCTATTTTGTTGACATTTTTGTTTAAGCCTGGTTCACACTGGTCGTAAATTATCGGCGATCTATTGTATTCTTTTCCAACAGACAAAGCATTTTACACACCAATGATCACAGACAATGGAAATCCCCGATTCTTACGACCAGTGTGAACCAGGTATTAATAATGTAAGCTTCATATGACACCATTCATTGTATAAATGATTAAGATTGTAATTGTTTAATATGTCAGGTTCATATGACACCATTCATTGTATAAACGATTATAATTGTACTCAGTCACAACTGCAAAACTATATATATATAATAAGAAAGAAATTGTGAGCATTATGGAAAAAAGTCAGATAATTTTTCATTCGTATATACAATTGTGTGTTCCAATTCGGACATCATACTGCTCATTTGACCTTATGCATAATGATGTCACAAGACTTCATGCCCGTGAGGAATGCTGATCTTAGTAGTCATTGCCCAGGAAAATTAAACAATTCAAAATGGCCACTATCTAAATTTTCCTGGACCGTGATGACTACTAAGACCAGCATTCCTCGCAGGCATCAAGCCTTGATACGTCATTATGCATAAGGTCTATTGATATACAGTGAAGCCCCACATAAAAGAACCAGTAGGTTAAGAACCACTAGCCTGAAATTTGGGCAATAACAAGTTTTAACATATGCAACAAGAATATACAGTGAAGCCCCACATAAAAGAACCAGTAGGTTAAGAACCACTAGCCTGAAATTTGGGCAATATTAACAAGAACCATATTAGTGTCATAGCAATAGTTTTGGGCAACAACAGTCCCTAGTTAATGTTTAGAATATAAAAAAGTATAGTGTGAAGTAAGATTATATAAGAACCACTTCAGCCTGAAGTCAAAATTCACTGGTTCTTTTATGCAGGGCTTTAATTTACTGTATATCATATTCCCATAATAACGGAAACTTTTTATTAGATATTTACGATATACTATATATACATTGATAAACCTCACTTAATAAAAGGTAGCTTATCGATGTCCACTTGAATTGAATATAATGCTAAAATATATATACAGGTGAAAATCTTTTAAATTTAGTTAAACATTTACAGGTAAACTACGTGAAGCGTTCCTCTTTTGAGTTTCTAAATTGATTGTAATTTTCCTCATTACTTTTGCAATTTAAAAAACTCCATTGCAAATCCCTTGAGGAAATTTGCAATGTTGCTAAAAGCCAATTAAATTTTCCTCAGTTCCTGTTAGAAGTTCTTAACTTCCTGTTACAAATTCCTAACTTCCTGTTCTGTTCTGGGCGTTGCAAGTGGCTAACAAAAATAATCGACCAATAACAACGCTCAGAACAGAACAGGAAGTTAAGAAATTAAAACAGGAAGTTAGGAAAATTTAAATCGAAGTTTGTTTGTATTGGAATATTGCAACAGTCGATAGGAACATTGAAAATTCCCTCAAGGGATTTGCAAAGAGTTTTTCAAATTTGCAAAGCTAATGAGGAAAATTCCAAATGAGTTACGAAGTCAAAAGAGGAACGCTTCACGTAGTTTACCTGTAAAAGTTCTGGATTGTTCCAGTCTTTGTTTCGTCTACAGAATATATAATAAGACTTGCGAATACGAGTAGCAATTATTTTCTTTTTTACATATTTAATACATTGTTCGTCGTACTTCAGATCATGGAGCATATCAAATAAAGTATTCGTCGATTCACCAAATACACCTAAAGAGCTTATAGATACATTAACAAACTTAACTTCATCATATATATTTTCTTGATTGGTAATTAGAGTCAAATATTTTTCATGTTTTCGATCTGAGTTAGTTTTCAGGTTTGTTTCGAATCCAACATTAATACTAGTAACAGTATTAATACTAGTAATAATCATTTTACTGTATATATATATATATATATATATATATATATATATATATATATATATATATATATATATATATATATATATATATATATATATATATATATATATATTTATTGGCGATTTTCTAATTGGCATACAACCTATATATTTGTAAAATTTGATATAGCTACAATACCTTGTTGGCTTGATCTTTTGAAACAATCAGTATACAACTTTATTATTGCCCAGCTAAGTAACGAGATCACACTTCGCTAGTATAAACTATATAGTATCAGCCTCGTCCCTGGCGCTTTGATGTGCTTACTGGTTGCGTGACGCACGCGCGGGAATCGAGGTGCGTTGCTCACTACGGGACGCGGAAGCGCCTCGCAGAAAACGTGTCGATTTCTGAAATTTCTGTCGATTTCTGAACTTTCAAAGCCATTGTTCGATTTTCTTGATTATTTTGCTTTCTCCACGACGGAATCATGGAATCTCTTCACAATATTTCTTTTGAAGGTAAATTTGTATGAATTTGTCTCATTATATATTTCAATATGATTTATTGTCTTGTTGACTGCTATAATTTTATAATTTTAATATTATGTGAACCAAATATTTATATGAAAATCATTCTGATCAACGTGTTCGTAGGGTTTTAAGGCTGCGTATGATTTCGGAGTCCTTTATACTGTACACTTATATTTATTTAGTATTAGTAAATTTTCCCTGACAAATTTTGAGTGATATCTTTGCCAGGTTCTTTGTAGCAGTTAATATTTATAATTACTGTGTAGTTGTATTATTAAATTGTCAATTCATGACAGACAAGTGAAAAAAAGGTTTTGCTAGGCCAAAGATATCAGATTCAAACCATCAATACCCATTGCAATCAAGCAATTACCATAAACATATAACCCCCAACATATAACCCCCCCTATGTATAATCCCACCTTCCATATTTACTCGGGCGATTCCGGCTATATATTAAAGCCACCTCTAATGCAAGCCCCTCGACAGGTATTTATTAATGCAGTGAGGGCCAGGATTCCAACAGCTCAGTCCATCAAAAATGCTTACAAAGTACAAACAAATATAAGCCCAGGGCTTATATTCAGATGTTTACAATATTCATCTGGCCAAACATAATTTGTCAGAGTTTTATAAATCCCACAGTCATTAGAGTTGTAGTTCTAAAAGTATTTGTAGGAATGAAAGGTGTAAAATGAAACTTAATTTGGGAGTTAAGAAACACAATTAATGCATTAATGGACAAGACTGTCCCCTTGAGAAGTAAAATTGCCTGCCATTAGAGGGTCTGAAAGTAAAATAACAAGCTTGGGTGCATGGCAGCCTAATGGGTTAACTTAATAGTTGGCTGCAATTACCTGTTGTAGGCTTTAAAGTTGGTTTCAAACTAGGGCTTATAAATGCCAGAACTCATATGTGAAAAATTGCACGAGTCAGTTTATCTGACATACCATAATGAACCCATTTAATAGGTTGCATTGCACCCTACTTTATTATGTTACTTTGTCCAAGTGTCTAACACCAACAATTTTACTCGTCAACAGGAGAGTGCTGGCACTCAATGGGTTAACATATAAATGTCTACCTGAACAGTTGGGTTTGGGTTCTACTCTAAAGTAAATTTCCCTGTAATCGGATTGTGGGATATGTGACTCTGTCAATATTTCTTCAAAGTGTGTTCTAATGATACATACTGTCACTATTTTATAAGCATAATGGACATTTCTCATTCAGGGTGATGTAAGTCATGTGGACAAGAGATTAATACAAGTTCTTTTGAATGTTCAAATCGCAAGAGTAGTGGTGTAGTGGTACACTAGCACTTGCCAGACCTAATTGGCAGAACTAACAATGACTTTTCTCTATAACTTTGTGGATCAAAACCTGGAACAGCGAAAGAATAGCCTATGGAGCTACAAAGTTATAATAATACTCTATTACATGTAACTTGATTGTACAGTTAGGTTTAATAATTAATTTAATCTGAAATAATACAAAATTAATCAAGAATTTGCATTTTTAATTTTCAAACATGTTGCTTGGTACTCAGTTTCAATAACAATGTCAGTAGCATGCACTCATTGTTGGAAATTTCTGCGTCTCTATTGTTTTATTTTACAGATTTTGCCATTTAACACAAAGTATTACACAAAATTAGTTAACACAAACTATTACACACAATAGATTACGTGGCTGGAATTACCACACAGAGATTAGTTCTCCAATAACGGGGTTCCAAGACATTCGAAATACACAGTATGAACAATAACAGGCTTGCAGACCGACAAACAAACAGACAGACAGACAGACGTGAAGATCAACAAACAAGCACCACGAATTACACTAATCAACGACTTACAATTTATGTGACAATAAATTAACAACATGCTCGATTGGACAAGTTAGTCAATGGGCGAGTTGAATGACACTTCACACAAACAGACTTAAATGTTCTCGGATCCTCAGGATTATAAATTTCCCTGGTGAGATCCTTATAATGTTGCATTAAACAAAATTTGAAAGAGACAACAGTTTTGTTGGTTTCTCTGATCAAACAGGGGAGTGTATTGCTGTTTTGGTAGCTCACTGTCTTGCACTTGGCTACTTCAAGTAAGATTTGACAATATTGTCATGACCAATTTTGTTGTTTTGACTTTATTTTGACCAAGTCAGTCTGGTTAGTGTTTTGTATAGCCACAAAATATCCTCCCGGTATAACTGAGATGTTGCTTGTTCAAGTGAGATGTTGCCTTCTTCAAGTGAGATCTCTCTGAGCCCATCAGGTTGTCCATACAAATTGAAAGGAATTTCCACTATAAAAATATAAAAATAACCACACGGTGAGGTCTCGCTTACTGGGCTAGCTGTCCGCATTAACAGCCCTTAATAACCTCAAGGACAGAAACATGGCAGAACTAGAAACAATTTAAAGGGGCAGTGTCACGGCGCTGATTGGCTAAAATAAACGGCGCAAAGAAACGTTTAAAATTAATGCTACATGATTGAAAAGATGCTGCAGCAGCCTTCAATTTTTAAAACAAAGCAAGGATGTCCTGCATAACGAAGGGATTATAAATAGTATATCGTATTTCACTCCTAACTTGATTAATTGTTGGCAGACAGTTTTTCAAGTTCGCGCATATTTTGGATGCGCAGTAGAACCGTGACACTGCCCCTTTGATAACTTAATATATACATGCAACAAACTATCAGAGAGGACATAAACTACAATCCTAGATATAAAACATGCCTTCTCACTTCTCAGATCAGCTGCCCCTAGCAGCTGAGCTGTCCTGCAGATCCTGCACCAGTTCAGCAGTTCACCACAAGCTCATGCATAACAAAACCCTTGACTAAATATGTAAAACCTTAATTCCCAATTTAATATACTAGCACATCATAGTTTCATCTCTTGATATCCCTGTACTGTGCAACCATTTAATTTCGGGATTGAGGGATGAAATTATCGCATAAAGTTACAGTAAATACAAAAAGGTTTTATATCTACAACCACACAAATATTTGTGGCTTATTTCCTAAAAAATAAAGTCTACCACTTATTCCCAACATTTTTTCATGAATTCCATGAAATACTAAAATAGTAATTTGAATTTTAAAATGTTTACCTGTTTATACTGACCATCTTCACTATCGTTGTCAAGACAAAAATGCAAATCACTTGTTTTGTCCGCCATCTTGAAAGCATTTTCTCCCAGGCGCTTCGCTCCGAATTTTTCCTTTCCCCCACGCGTGTCCTCCCGCGCGCGCGTCACGCAACATCAAAGCGCCGGGGACGAGGCTGGCATTGGCCAGTAATGCCATTGAATCAGTATATGCCTTTAATTCTTGTTTTCGTAGCTCAGCATCAACTTTAACCTGGTGTTTCATTTCTTCCAAAATTTTTTCATCTGATTCCTTTTGGGATTTTGTAAATTCATCCATACATTTTTGAAATTCTTCTTGTTTTGACAATCTTTGCTTCTTTTTATTACTTCGTATTGATCCTATAATATTGCGTTTTGCATTTGATGGCTTTGATCCACTGGCTTCAGAATCTTGTGCATCAAGATCTGGAGTTTCATGGCCAACAGCTTTTTCTAACTCAGACATAATTTCTGAAGCATTGTCATCATCATCATCACCATCTTCACTTGAATCATGGATATCTTCACCTATTAAGATAATAACAATATAACATTCTAACTGCCACTCTGTTATGCACTAATATATCAACCTTCCATAGCCAAGCAGTTCAATTAATTATTAAAACCTTGTATCACAATTTACAATGGGTTGTTCCAAAAAAGATCCATACTCCCCCCCGGAGGAAATTTCTGCCGTCCGGAGGGGGAGGGGAGAAAAATTGTTTCTGATAATAGTAAATGTATTAGGACATCCGAAGGGGGTAGGAGGGTTAATTTCCTCTGTGGGTGTGGTATGCATGTTTTCTGGAATAACCCAATGCACATAAAACTTGTACCTGCTTCTTTGCAACCACAATCAGAGCACTCAAAATCATCATCATCAGAAAACACACCAATGCATCCATTATCAATGTGAACCCCAGATGTTCGAATCTTTGTTGCAGTACCACAGTTTATGCATTTTTTCTCCAACTTTTTCCCTTCACCATATTTTTTTATTAAATCCATTTCTAAAAATTAAAAAAGCTAAATGAAATGCCTATAATTTGAATCAGTTATAGATAGTTTTAGAAAATTCTACTGTTTATAGACACTGCCCAAACAATGGCCAAGCAGTGATGGCACAATGTATAGGGGGAATACAAACAAGGGAATGGCAATTTTGAGGTGGAAAAATCAATTTTTTCTTACAAAACTAGCAAAATATTTTATAAACAACCGATATATTTCTGCAAGAAAAAGATAATCATGCAGACTATGTAAAAAATATCTGTAGTTATACACAATAATACAAAGGAAAGATTAAATTTCCACTTGCCTAGATATGATTTATTTTCCGTTTCTTCTGAAATTGATGAAGACAAAGTATCGATGGCTGCATCAATTCCAGTAGCTTCAGGTTGGTCACCAAGAAAAACATCTAGCTGCTCAAAAAACTTCGGTTCTTTCACTCTTGCAGCCCCTGAACGAGCCAGTGCATCTTTGTACTTTTTATATGTGGTTTTCAAATGCTTAACTTTTGTTCTACATTGTGTAAAATCGCGTTGGAACCCCAGGGTTTCCAGTTTTGCACTCATTTTCCCGTATATGTCCTTGTTTTTACGTGATGTTGCCAGCATCTTTAAAATTGATTCTTGACTCCAAATCGATATTAATGCTAATACTTCATCATCACTCCAGGTTTCTCCTCGTTTAGCCATGGTAAAGCTAGATTATTTTGCAGAACTTCGACGAACAACAAAAATGGCAGTCGAACAATTTCGATCAAAACTCTGGAGAAAAAACGCGCGAAAATTTGCCAGGCAGCTAAGCACCAAAACTAGCTCGGTCTAAATGCGCGAACTGATCCGAGACCACCTCCCGAGGTGGTCTAGTTTAATTCGACCTCGATTCGATCTCGGTTCGTTTTGGGCTGTCCACACTTGGCCCGATACGGACTGAGATCGCTTTTTGATCGATGTTTTGGAAACGAGAAAACGGCAAGTTGTCGCTTTTTATAGCCTTTACAGGATTAAAAACACAATGAAAAAATGGGCCCACAAATTGTTTTCAGGTTAGCAAATAAATTTTTAAAATTTAAAATGGTTAAAAATATATATTTTTGAAAAAATAATCGGGCTAAGGAGAGTTTCGAGGAGTGAAAAAATTCGGTCAAAAGTTTGATTTTGAGCAAAAATATGCAAGAAAAACACTTTTTTCCATGGGGATACTGTATTACAACGATTGGAATTCAAATCAGGTTTTTCGATTAGTTACGACTGTTTTACATCTTTCTGCAGCAAAAAGTGAGGAGTTTTGCTTTAGTGTATTTTGTACGACAAATTATTGAGTAAATTTTCGTAACACAATTGTCTTTTTCAATATTGTAGGGTGTCCCCAATGTAATCAACCTTTTAATGAATTAGGTAATGACAGAGTTTCAACTTAATGTAATATCATATTTTTGTGTATATATGTATATACTGGATATCTTTCTTAATCAAATTGTATGTAACTATATGTATTTTTTTACGGATGAAGAGCCACTTGTTAGAAAAATAGAATTAAATTATTATTATTATTAAAATGACAATTCTATGATTAATTTAAAAGAATTAACATTTTCATTGTTTTTTTTCTATAATTTTGCACCAAACTTTATTCCAGTACGTTACCATGGCTGCCAATAGCCGGGAACAATACTTTGATTAGCGGTTGGCTAAATAAAAATACAGGTTATAGAATCTGACTCGTCCCCATTCGCTCGCGTTGGATGTAACCCGCAAACGGGCATATTCTCCCGCACTAAAACGTAACGAGGAACTGTGGAAGAGTCAGTTATAGAATCATGTCTCGCTGTTTATGGTTTCAACAAATGTCATTCATATTACCTAAACATGAAAACAATTTGTTTTCAACTAAATGATTGTCAAAGTTGCTCTGGAAATTTGTGGTAACCAATCCCATCATGAGCTGAGACTGTCATGACTTCTCCCACTTTGTCTTCATCGTTCAAAAGTTGAATAAAACCATCTGCCACGGTATCGGCACTAAAATATCAGATCAGAAAACTAGTGTTTGTAGTTATAACATCTTTAATATGCTTCATTTGTACTCGGCAAATTAAGGAATATCTAAAAATACGAGCATGTAAGCAAATCATGCACAATATATCATATAGAGTTTATCGTCCATTGCACTCTAGGCCCAATGGTCAGCTCGTATTAATGTTGTCATATCCTCATGTTTATGCCCAATAGGGATAGGGATATGCTTGCATGTGATGTAGGTACGATCAAAGATAATTGTTATATGGCTAGGGTGAACACCAAACGTGATTGGCTGATTTGTTGTCACGTGACTTTTCTACGTACAAAATATATAAAATGGCGGCACAACTCGCAAGTTTATAAACTACGATTTTCCAAGTTTGTACTAGATAAAGAATGTAAAAGAGAAGTAAAATACACAACAGGTAACAGGATATGCTGCCGAAACCGTTTAAGGTTCGGAAACGCATTAGAATTAGAATATAACTCATTATCTATGGTTTTTTAGGTTTATTCAAAAATGTTGTCCTTCATTGTCACGTGCGTATTGTGTTTTGCTAACCAACCAATAGCAATGTTTTAGGAAAGTTAACTCCCCGTGACGTGAACAATTGGGTAACTTAAGAATAACCTGAGTATCAGGCCCTTGTGTTTTCATTCGCCAGGATTAATTGGCGGCGGCGAATGAAGGAGGGCCTGATACAATTCTTTACCGCGGCGCATGTAAAAAGCCAGATTCTGGCTTTTTCGTCTGATTGGCCGATTAGACAAACGATTTTTTAAATCTGTCATTTGATTGGCTGGTGCTAATTAGATTATACTATTGTCAGTTGTTGATATATTTTATAACGATCATAACTACAATTATAGCCGGCCCACTAAACGGCTGAATTTAAATTAAAACTGCAGTAAAATTAGAAAATAATCGCAAATTAGCGAAATATATTGCAAATGTAGCTTATATTAAATCGCGATTAGATTGCACTATCGACTAACTGACGTATAGTTATAAAGTATAAATATATATATACTTTATAAATATACGTCAGTTTGTTGATAAATACGGCAAGCGCCATGTAAAGCTCATTGTAGTCACTGAAACCTCTGCGGAGGAGAGAGCAATTGGGTGGCGATTTAGTATAAGCTAGCTACATTTGCAATATATTTCGCTAATTTGTGATTATTTTTGTTAATTTTTAAGTTCATTAGATAGATAGATAGATAGAGACTTTATTTAAAGAGGGTGACACTTAATAGTACGAAGTACTAATGAACTTGTGGCCCTCATAAAATTTACAAAAAATTAGGGAGTATATCTATTGTCTATTTACAACATTTATATATATATCTATGATTATAAATCGATATTCAGACTTTCAAGTTTACTTAATTAAAAAGGTTATATTACATGAGGTATATATGACATTACATTTATATAAAAGAGAACATTATATAGCTATATTACAATTATATATTACTTAAATTTGAAATCAGGAAAAGAAGTAAATTGTTTAAATTCACTCTGGTGCGTACGGAAGCAATTATATAATAAGTATTTAAAACAGTTAATGGAGCTAGCAGAACGGAAACTTAAAGGTAATTTGTTCCAGAGGCCTATAGCGGTTATAGAAAAAGTTCTTCCTGCTTCTGTAGCTCTATTGTATTTCGGAGTTACTAAACTTAAATCAGCACTGCGAGTGTTCCTCGAATGTTGTTGGCTATTTAAATTTAATAGTCCGTTTAAGTACTCTGGAGTAGCATTAATAGTACGCTTGTAGATCATAATACATTTTCTAATATCCGACTCTACGTAAAAAGGTAACCAACCAAGATTATTAAATAGATTAATCGAAGAATGGCGAGGTTCAGCGTCAAGGATAATTCTGGCGCAGCGTTTTTGAAGTTTGAAAATTTTTGTGATATTGTTCTTACTACAGTTTGTCCAGGTTATACTACAATAGAGAAATAGAGGTTTGATCATAGCATTGTAGAAAAGAATACGTTCCTTTCGAGGCAGGTATGATTTTATAGATTTCAATATTCCAATACGTTTCGATAGTTTCATTGCAATTATATCAACATGAGTGTCAAAGTTTAAATCTTCATCAATATTAAAGCCCAGTAATTTCACAGTGTGCTCTTGTTCTAATGAATCATCGTTCAATTTAATATTGAGAGTTTGATTTTCAGGAGTAAGCTTAGCTTTAAGACGTTTACCAGAAATCAGAATGTTTTGGTCTTAGTGGTATTGAGAGGCAGTTTATTGGTAATGGCCCAGTTTTGAACGTTAGAGACTTCCAGAGATAATTTCTCATTAAGTTCATTAATATCATTATAATCAGTGGCAGCGAGTAAGGTAGTGTCATCAGCGAATAAATCTACTTGGGTGTTGATATGTAGAGGCAAATCGTTGATAAAAACGAGAAACAATAGAGGCCCAAGGATAGAACCCTGTGGTACTCCGTCCGTGATTACTTTTGTTGTAGAAGACTGGCGTTTGAAGTTAACATATTGTTTACGGTCTGATAGATAGGATTTAAACCAATCAAGCGAGCTCTGATCAAGATGGTATGCTCCAAGTTTATCAAGCAGGATACAGTGATCAACCATATCAAAGGCTTTCTTATAGTCGACTAAGACCATGCCATTAATGAGATTTTTTTCCAGGTTGAGTAAAAGAGAGTCAACGATAAATGCAACAGCAGTTTCTGTGCCAAATTCGCTTCGAAAACCGGATTGATTGGAGTATATCAGATTATTTATAGTGAGATAGTAAAACAGACAGTCGTGTACATGTCGTTCAATGATCTTTGAAAGCACAGGTAAAATAGAGATCGGTCGATAGTTGTTAAGATCAGAATTTTCGCCAGCCTTAAATAGCGCAGTGACTCTAGCTATTTTCCATCTTGAGGGAAATTGATTACTAGTCAAAGACATATTGATTAACTTAGATATTGATGGTGCCAACTCCTTGATGCCTGCTTGAAGCAGTTTCGCACTAATGTCATCAGCTCCAGTTGCTTTACTAGATGGTATCTTTAACACGTAGTTTTCAACAAACTCACATGTGATGGGTGGTAAACTGAACGCAGACTTGTTAGGTGATAACTTCGATTTTACGAACTGTTTCAACTTACTTAGTTATTGATAGGAGAGAGCGAGGATTTGATTTTACTGGCGATTGATGTAAAGTGAATATTGAAAGCTTCGGCTATTTCACAACTATTCCTTAACACTTTATTGCATTCACCAATGAGGAATTCTGGCAGGCGCGATGGCTTATTATTACCACCAAGAGATTTAATCAATTTCCAAATGGACTTTACGTTGCCTTTGTTATTTTGAATGGAAGTTTTGAAATAATTTCTTTTAGCTTTTTCGATCATGTTTGAAGCTAAATTTCTTGCGATACGGTATTGTTTCCATGCATTGGTTGAATTAGTTTCAGATTTTCTAGCTTTAGAAAGCAGGTTATCTCTAATCTTTAACTGATTAAGGATGTCACCATTAATCCACTGAGGCTGCTTAGACTTGGCAATACGTTTTTGTTTTGTTGGGGCATGTTGGTCGATTGCTTGAAAAAATATACCTTCCCATGTGGCGAGAACATCATTAATATCATCAAATACGAAGGCCGTGTCCCAAGGGGAGTTTGCTAACGTGTTTTTGAATGCAGATGTATTAAGATTCTTTAGGTCTCTGTAAGTTATTGAATTATGAGAGTTAGTTGATTTAGACTGCTTAAAATATTTACGAACAGCAAACGTTGGTAGATGATCAGAAAGAGCATAGTTTTCCACTAGTGCTGCGGTGATATGCTGACATTTGTTAGTATAGATGTGATCTAAACAAGTACCACTTGAAGGTCGAGTTACATCAGATACCAACTGAGAGAAATGCATGTTCATTAAACTTTTTGACAAGTAGTGTTTCTTGAATTCTTGTGAAAGAAAGTTGATGTTAAAATCACCTGTTAGTATAACTTCTTTATTAGTCAAGTAGGCGGTTTCAATACACTGATCAAATAGTTTATCATCATCTCTAGAGTATGATGGTGGACGGTAACAGCCAGATATCAACAGCGAGCGTTTGGACTTGAATGGGCAGATTTCGAGCCATAAAATCTCGACAGAATCATATTCAAGGTCGACGCGGCGATTAAAGGTTAATGCGTTACTACAATACACAGCTACACCTCCTCCAGCTTTATGTAAACGTTATTTCCGCAGTAGAGTAAAACCAGGTATATTGTAGAGGGAGTCGCAGTTTGAAGGTTTTAGAAACGTTTACGTCAAAAACAAAATATCAATACAATCTGAGTTCGTTCGTTTAATTTGTTCAAATTTACTGCTAGTTAAATGGTTTACATTCCACTGACCAAAACGGAGTCCTTTATTGGGTAGATGCAACTTTAAATAGCGAAAGTTATTAGAGTCCTGCTGATTACTGATTACATCATGATCTTCAGATGTAGTTTCGGAGGTCAAATCAGATTCAAAGGTTGTGTTGCCAGTTGAAGAGTTGAAGCTGCAGTCAGATGATGAAAAACACTCATCACAAATCCAGTCTAGGAACTCGCCACTGGTTGCTTGATCAGTGGAGACGCACGAGGTGTGGTAATACCAATCACAGTAAGAGCAGAATATTGGGTCTACTTCCCATAATATAACCGCTTGGCAGGAGTGACATGTTGGATTAGGCAGATTGAGCAGATTAGGATGGTGGGAGTGAGTCGACAAATTTGCAGCATTGATGGGCCCTGGATTTAGTAAAACAGCCACATCACCAGATCTTTGTAAGATAATAGCAGCTAGAGAATACTTTAATAAACAAATAATCTTGCTTCCGACAACAACCATTGACAATGAGTTACTTTTTCTAGGTACTTTAGCAACAGAAAGATGGGGATGTTTGAGTTGCCAAGAGTTCTCCATTTGGCGACCCACAAAAATATTTAAATATTAGGCTTTAGACCTAATAAAACACGACCTGCGAGTTTATTAAACGGCTTCAAACATGACTACAAATTCAATAGATATACTAGGCCGTCGTCTAGTGCCCCAAAAGATGGCTAGAAAACGATTTTCGTTGCACACCTCTTTAAACTAAAAGAAAATTACATATTCTTATAGATTAAGTGACGCTGAATCCAAATCTAAAACGTTCTTGCGGGTTCACCATGTAGTTTTTTTGTAAATTGCGATCAAAATCTTAAAATTTACGAGTTTCGCAATAGCATTTTTACTATATTCCATATATCAAAATGCGTACTCTCGGAACCAGTCGCTTGCGTGCCATAGTGAAAATTATACAGGATAGGTCACTTCTGCCTCCTCTTGAGATATGTAAAATAAACAATGAGCAATATGATTTTCAAGTTTCATATATTATTGTGACCATATGCGACAAAGCGTATTTTCCGGCATTATACGAAGATATTTAGCGACTGCCAGGCATTATTTCAAGATTATGAACTTGTGTGCACACTATATCATCTTTATGGCGTGTAATAAAGGACGAAACCAACTTCAATTTTATATTTTGCCATTTTGAAGATAATGTAAGAGTATAAATTAATGGACATAATTGTAGTATGGATATATTTGTATCAGTATGGTAAGCCAAAAACTACCAAATACTTAATAGTAAGTATATAAAATACATATTTAAACAATACTATAATTAGTACCATGATATAGTAATTAATAACACATTAGCTTTTATCATCATCACAGTCCACTGCCTTCATCTAAGTTATTGTCAATTTAATAGATCTATCCATTGAACTAGATCTATCTCACTGTTCTCACAATTGCTGCATTTGCAAAGTTTAGTGCACTTTATTAATTAATTAAATAAATGTGCTTTAAAAAATGAGCATTTTGTTTGACAACCCTTTTTGCATTTGTAGCTAAATATCAGCCCAATAGTTAATAACTACTGTTTGACATATTAGGGAACTATGGAAGCTTATTTATTTAATATTTTACAAAAGGCAGCACCAAACTGATACAGCCATTTGCAGTTGCATTGGGCGTACAGATGAGTAAAGTTTGATTGCAATTGGCTCTGAACAATTTCTAAATCAATATCACAAGAGAACATCTAGTTTGGAGTTTGGCTTAAGTTTAATTAAAGATCTAAATTACTGATTTTTCAAATCTCTCAAACTTTGCAAAGATAGAACGCAGTCATGGTTCCTAACTTGTTTAATGGTTAGATTAGTCAGTTTAGGAGCAGGACGAGTTTGTCCTTGAATGGTGGGCCGAGTTGGTTAGTGGGCTGAGTTGACTGTAAAGCATTCTAAGATGCTGTATGGAGCAGGGCCTTGATCGATGATTTTCCTGGCCATAAAGATATCACTCCAGGAGGGTGGTGACACTCTCGGGAAGGTGTAAATCATCTTTAAGTGCCTCAAATGCATATTTGAAGAATTTGTGGTGCTTAATCTTGCTACATACTTTGAGTGCTGTTGTCTTGCCTTTACTGCAATGTTGAGACATTCTAACTAAGTTTAAAAATGTTCAATATGACAGAAGAGGTTTGTGACATGCTTTTGCTAAGGGGCAGCATAGCAATTATGTGTTAGGTGGCAGTTATGTGACCTTATACATACCGTAACTGCTGCTGTATGTAGTGGAAACTTATAATTTAAGTAGCTAAACCATCTAAATTTGTGACAAAATGTTATTAAGATTCCATATGTTTGTTGAAGAGGAGTAACTCTTCCTAAAATGTGTCAAATGTGACAGGTATAGCTTCACCTATCAGCAGTGAGAGCAATGAGTCCTTGGTACATAAATTATGCTTGCTATATGTCTACATACTGGCTGGAAATGATTTGTTTGCATTAGGCACGCCCCGGTGAGGAAATTATATACAGTATACAGTATGATTCTTCAAATATTGAAATATTGAAACCTTATGCAGTCAGATGAATATTTAATTAAATACTGTTATAAGGTTGAAGAGATCATTGAAGTTTTTTGCAAATAATCAAATACTGACAGTAAATTGACACTTGGATACTGTAACTGTGTGACACTAACAAGTTGTCAAAATGGATGTCATTCTATAGTTTTGAGTTCACTGGAGAAATTTAATAATCTTTTTAGGCATATAACATAAAACTAATTTAGATAACATGCATCAAGGGTTGGATCCTAAGGCACTACCATGGGGGCACTCTAAGGGGGATTCATCCTCCCCTAGTCTACCTCACAGCCACTCTTTGTGTCAAGGTTTCTCCCCATGAGTGGCGGCTCACTCAAGCACAACATTCCTTTCCTGAAAACAACCGATCACAGTAATGCTTCTAAATTTTGGAAACATGACCTTGAGACAAGATATTTATGAATTATTAAACATTAAGATATCTAACGAAAGACAAAGGGAACAGAATGCTGTGCTTGAGTGAGAGGCCGCTCGTGAGGAGGAACTCAACACAAATAGCGGATGTGAAGGAAACTAATGCTCCCCCAGAATATTTTAAAAATAAGGTGCCCCAGATTGGCTAAAAATACATTAATTTGTCATACAACATTTGTAACATCATTCTATATTTAAATCTATACATTTATACACTATCAAACTATGAAGATGGATGCACTTATAATTGCATTTCATAGCTCATTCCTACAGTCAGAACAGGTAACATTCTTTCTATTGGTTACAATTTTCCCTCTGAATTTCTCCTTTTATCTAAATTTGTACAAGATATACATTTTTTTCTTTCATGGGGAAATATCTGATCCGGACAGCATCTGCTCCGGATAGCTGCAAATGCATAAAGGGTTGTCAAACAAAAAGATGCTCATGTTTTAAGGCAAATTTGAAGTGTACTGAACTTTGCAAATGCACTAACACTTTATTTAATAGCTATGCTCTTGGCATAATTTTATACAAAAATTCCACACAGGCAATTGTGAGAACAGTGAGATATATCTAATTGACAATAACTTTATAGATGAAGGCAGTGGATTGTGATGATGATGAAACCTAATGTGCTATTAATTACTATATGGTATTGATTATAGTATTGCTTAAATATGTATTTTATATATTTACTAATAAGTATTTGATAGTTTTTGGCTTACCATACAAATATATCAATTACTACAAATTATGTCCATTACTCTGTCTTCAAAATTTAAAATTGAAGTTTGTTTCGTCCTTTATTACACGCAATAAGGATAAACTGTGCACATAAGTTCATAATCTTGAAATAATGCCTGGTGTTGCTAAATATCTTCGTACAAAGACAGAAAATACGCTTTGTCGCAATAATATATGAAACTTGAAAATCGTGTTCTCATTGTTTACCTCGAATCTGATTTCACATATCTCAAGAGGAGGCGGAAGTGACCTATCCTGTATAATTTTCACTATGGCGCACGAGTGACTGGTTCCGAGAGTACGCATTTTGATGTATGGCACATAGTAAAAATGCTATTGCGAAACTCGTAAATTTTATGATTTTGATCGCAATTTACAAAAAAACTGCAGGGTAAACCCGCAAGAACTTTTTAGATTTGGATTCAGCGTCACTTAATCCATAAGAATATGTAATTTTCTTTTAGTTTAAAGATCGAGGTGTGCAACGAAACTAAACATTTTGGGGCACTAGACGACGACCTATACTGCCTTATTAGTATTCTTTATATAAAAAATACTAATGAGGACACAACTACAATAGATACTGCCTTATTAGTATTCTTTATATAAAGAATACTAATTAGGAGTGTTTTATCCGGTTTAAAGCCACTCCACGTGACATATTATGGTTGACATGATTTGCCAATAAGCTTATGATTTATCAATGTTGAAGTATATTTAACCTTGATACATTGTGATTTTAACTAGCTAGTCAAGGAGCCTGTTATGATACTGGTGATGGTCAAGGTGCTAATAAATGAGAATCAAGAAAGAGAAAGCTAAAGAAGGTGGGAAAAAACTTTTGAATCTTTCTCTCGATGAGAAATGTAAAAACAGGTTAAAAGAAGAAAATTGACAATGGGAGAAACTAATGACACTGGCAAAGACACTGAAGTCTGGCTCAGTGGCCCAGATACCACCAAGGACCCTGGGGAATCTAATAACTATAGTGATGAAGACATCCCACGTCTAAAACGTGAAAATGCATTTTATGGAGTTTATCCAGAATCAAAGTAAATATGCAATGATAAGCAATTTATTTTATTGCCTAATTTATGGATCTTTGTTCTTGAGCCCAAGGGATTGGTTACTTGAAATTCATCACAGTACCCATGAATTATCAGAGCATGTTCTACTACTCCAAACAACGGATGACTTTTAAAATATTCCCCATCACAGAAGTCTCTAATTTTACCTTCAGTGCTGGTATGAGAATTGCATGCCTTGAAAAATAATTAGATCATATGGTTAGTGTGATTTATCAGGTGTTCTCATTCCTCATGCCCTATAGGACTCAGGATGGTCAAAGAGCTTTCATGTTAAAGGTTAACTCATTTGACCACACTAATTAATTTGTTAACAGAATTAAGTCACTGACTCCTGAAAAAATTATCTATATAAGCACATGTTTATTAAAGTGAGCAGTGGTGTAACTTTACTTTTTTGACCACTTGCCCTCAGAGTTCAACATGAAAATTAGTTGCCCTGAATAAAATTCACTTGCCATCAGACAATGGCCACTGGGGTACCTAGGTACGGGGTATACATGTAAATTAAGGAGACAACATGTCAACCCATTCTCTCACTACTCTATATGGCTATGTTATATTGCCTCAGATCTAGCTTTTGCCCACACTAAACAACATTTTAATCAAGCATATGCACTATAAAAAATTTATCCGACAATGAAAACATGAACTTAAAGATGCCCAGCTTTTTGTGGCAAGGCAACTTGCCAAATCGGGCAAGCAAGATAAAGCGGGCAAGCAAGATTGGTTGTAGAATACCTCTTTTAGACATCAACAGCACAACTTAACTTCGCCGCCTAGCATTTGAAGGCAATGGTCCACCAGGTTTTTGTATTATCCAACATTGAGTCAATAGCTTGTTGGCTGACAAGATTAAAGTGGAAGTCAAGTCCGTAATGTAAACAAACGGTTTGTTTACATTTTGAACTGCTGTATTTTTTAAAATATGATGTACTGTCTGAATATCTAACACCATTTTGGTTCACTATGCTTCTTCTAAATGAATATGAAATAGAGTTTATGTTCAGAAAATTTCAAACATTCGAAATTTAGGCAATGTTTACATCTGAAGATCCTCACATTGTTATGAGCAGAACCGATGCGCAGAACGGACTTGACTTCCACTTTAACCTCCTTCGTTTTTAAAACAAATAACTTCGTAATTTTCTCAATATTGGTATCTTGGCCAATATCGTCATCATCTTCATCAGCTTGATCGTCATCGTCAATTGGGACATCAATAATGCAATGGTCAGGATCGTCATTTCTTTCATCAAACAAGTGATCTTGTGCGCATTGTTTCTTGTGTTTTCTGTCCAAGTGAGACTTGAAGGATGAATGCCTAGTGAAACCTTGCCCACAGTATGTGCACAAGACTTTAAAGTTGGGTTCGTTACTGTGAACAAATTTGATGTGACGCAGGTATCTATCAAACTTTTGCCCTGTGAATTCACCACAGTATGGACAAACGTACATATTGGTCCATAAAATTGAAAATCTCCTTGCCTAAAAGATGCTAACTTTGAATAAACCATGCAAATCGAAATCTATTTATATCATATGACCTTACAAGCATAACGCAAAAATTACCATATCATGCATGACAAGCTTCCGGTTCCAGTGAATATACTGTTGGCATAGTACTTTTTTTTAAATCGACTGCTCTGCATTTTTACCAGTCAAAAACGACTCTCGCCTGTTTTGTAATATATTGGTGGCATAATAGAGCTTTTTTTAAATTGACTGCGTTTTTTGTTAGTTTTCAGTAAGCATTAGAATTAACATATGCATGATAAGTTTCCAGCACTGAAAAATTTCCCAGTGAATACAATATACTGTTGGAATATTAGAGCTCTTTTAAACAGACTGTTCAGGTTTTTTGTTAGTTTTCAGTAAACATTTATCTTTTTTCTTCCACTCACTAACCCTTTTTCATCGTTTTACTGTTTTTTATATCCCTCAGTGAAATCAGATTTTAGATGATCATCTCTCGGCCAATGAAAACTCGCTGTGCTTGTGTGGCCACTGTGACTGTGGTTCATATAACAGTTCACCACATGATAGTGTCATTTCGGTTTAGACTTGGTAAAACACACTCACACACTCTAACAGTCATAGTAGTAAATATCTAATATGGAAGGCTTGGAATTTGTCAAGAACTGGTTGGTAGAAAGAGGCTTCGAGAAGTACTGTGGTGCATTTGAAACTAAATGTCAGCAAATTATAGTATAGTCGGTTTAGACGTTAGTTTATATCAACAGTCGGCCAAGCAGAATGCGGCTAACACCAGGCAATTTTACTTATGCAGCTAGGTACCCTGAGTCATACTCGTCAAGGGAGAGTTTGGCGACTTTTGCCACTCAATGGGTTACATTAACTGCAACATTTCAAATGTGCTTTATAAGCACTGTGAGAATAGCATACAAAAGGTGATAGCAATGCATATGCACACAATAATATAGGTTGTATTCATTATGTATTTTTCAGGATTCTTGGGTTGCCCAGATATATGAAAAATGTAGAAATGAAAGAAGAAGGTTAACTGAGAATCTAGAAGTGAACATGCAAAAGTTAAAACAGGCCGCCACAGCCTCAGGTGATACAACACCCTCAACCTGGTCAAAAGAGGCGACTTAAACTGGGAACCGCCTTTTCGCTAGGTCAAGATGAAACAACGATGAATTTTTCATAAGCAGTTTTTGAAGAGTTAATTCCTTAAACACTCACCAGACGAGGGGAAAATTGCAAGAAGAATGCTGGTGACATTTCCAGATCGAAGAAAAATGGTTAATGAGAAAAAGCCCATCAAGGAAATTAAGGAGTACCCAGTGCTGTTTTTCTCCTCTGAGGTAAGAACTTTTCAATGTATGTTTTAATGGCAAAGACCTCTTCATGGTTGAAAATCAGTCAATTAGACGCATATAGGTAAGGCCGTCCGGAGCACTATCTGGTTGGGGGCCGAATTAAAAAATTTGGGACCCCTTCCTTTTGGAGTCCCCCTCAAAAACATGAGGGGGGGAGGTTGTCGTTTTTTCCAACCATGAAATGTTCCAAAAACTTTTCTTTGGGGGTTACCCCCCCCCCCCCCAACTAGTTCTGGCCCTGCATACAGGGCTAGTCTGAAGCAGATGTCCACAATGATGTATTTATTGCCATCTTGTCTTGATTTAGATCATTGCAGAATGAGAGTCTGCTGATGGCAATGTCTTTTACACACAATGTGAGCTAAGTGGCAGCTAGCATAGTTCGTGTAGAACGGGAAAAGAGTGTGTTCAACACCGAAATGAAAAGGTTTTTGGACTCACTGGAGACGGAGCCAACCGAAGGTGTCAATGAGCCTTCTGCAAGTAAGTTACCTAATTTAGATGTTCTTGAAACGACTTGGGATATAATGATAATAATCTGGTAATGCATAGAGCCTTAAAGTGCTACTACTGTAACCTCAAATACGATTTTTGGCCTACACAATGGTCGGATTATTCCAAGAAGAAATGCATAATATATCTTTATAGTAAAAAAAGCTCGTCTTGGTTGACTTTTCAACTCTCAAAGTCAGCAGATATGTCATGTCACTTGGGGAATTTTAGTTGCCGAAAACAAAAGAAAAGTAATTTGCAATTCCCCAAATGATGAATCAACTTTGAGAGTGAAAAAGTCTATTAAGATGAACTTTTTTACTATAAAGATGTATTAGATTTCTTCTTAAAAATTAAAACGATCCAACTATTAATACACATACCAAAAGTCATATTTTGTGTTATAGTCGCACTTTATGTCTATATTTCACGGTGCATCCACACAATTACTCATGTACATATTTGCTTTATGTGTACTTTATAGATGAACTTGCTGAAGTTGCCCTGGCGGTGTTGCCCTTTCTCTTGCCCCAAAAGAGGAGTAAGGCTAACCAAGAAGAGTTTGTTCGGTTTGTCTCTGTAAGAGTGTATTTCATAAATTCTATCATGTATATAATCATCTTTAATGCATATATTGCAGTGCACCTGAAAGATTTTTGCGAAGAACTCTAATGATGGATTCTCATGCAGAGAGGGATCGAGCACAATTTGGCAGGGGGTATTCTTTGCCTGTTGCTCATGGTGTGGAGTATAACTGTTGATCAAGTACATAGTCACCAGGAGCAGTGTTCTGTAGAATGTGAAAATAATGCCTCTTGGAGGATTTGGAGTGTTATTGTTTTCCAAATTGAAAAATTATTTGATAGGAGATTGGCACCCCCAACCCTTGCACCCTCCTTTGCCAAGGCTATGGGGGTGCTTTCTCCATCTCTGCACCCCACTCCGGTTAATCCATTTTATTTAACATGTGATTATCTATTATTTAGGAGGATCAGGATGTAGAAGCTTTTGCTTCAACACTGGCGTCACCCCTTTCCCAGTGATTGTTGTGAAAGGTGGCCTGGAAGGAATGCTGAGGTCCAGTATTGTGGCCGACCGACAAGTGCTCTTTGAAGTGGATGGCGGGATGATGGATGCAACAATGGCGCTGTTTGCCACATATTACATATTTATGTATGAATACCCGGCTTCCTTGAACAATTTGTTTACATATTTACAAAAGTGCATTTTCCAAATCCCTGATGCACGGAAACCTCCAACGTCTGTTATTACGTTTATCAATGCACTGGACTGCAATACGGAAAATTAATTAACACATCCTTAGTGTCACTAAAAATGTTCTATACATAGATATAACCTCCTAACTACTTGTATTCCGTAATATACTCTTTTTATCTCACTACTTGTACCTTTTGTGTTGTTTTTAATCTTGTGCGGGATTTACTGTTGATGCCTATCTATACTATAATTTCCTGCATATAGCCTTTGTTTTACGCAATCTATTTGAGTACAAGTTTACTCAAATAGGTTGCGTAAAACTTATGTTTTACTCAAGGCTCAAGCTGAGTAACGTATAGCTTTTACGCACGTTTTAGGTGTCACTGTGAATGCATTGCTTTTACTCAAATTTTGAGTAAATTTTACTCGACCATTAGCAGTAAAGTTACTCAAATATTGTGTGTCACTGTGAACACATTTTCGTACTCATGTTTTGAGTAACTTTTATGCAAGGATTTTTTGCAGTGTTGGCTTACCTAAGTTATACCTTACACGTTGATTAAAGTCAAGTTAAGCCCTTTCAAAGACATGTGCCACATTAAAATACTGGTCACATGGCGGTAGAGAACTCGACAAAGCATTCAGAATATTTCATAGCCAGTTTAAACGCCACTGTGTACTATTCCTGTGAATTATGATGCCCAACACACCGGGTAACAAAATTTACCACCTTGTTCGGCTGTTCCAAGTACACTTTTAAGATTCAAGGTCCGATCATATCATGTTCTTCGAAGCATCTGCTCAAAACAGTCCAACATAAATATCGCCACTCATCTTCGTTTGAAAATATAAGTTTTCCTTTCAATTGCTTTGCTTTAAAAACAGTAATTAGGTTATAATAGTTTTGTTTGTAGAAACACCACGTAAATTTATTACTGCAAAGCTTTCGATCCGTAAGCCCGGATCTTCATCAGTGCTAATAATATGTGACTGGTTTAATTCACACACCCTTTCTATATACAAAAGTGTTGTGATCTGTTGGCTTGCATCATTTGAAATTTAATTAAACGGCACATCAACCATGTCATTTCAAATGTAGTGAAGTGATTGCAATTAACATGTGCGCATCCAAGACAAGAGAAATTAATTTTGCACATTAAGGAGAGCATGCCACATACTATCTAGTGACTTTCCCTCCTGATCTATAGTATTGTGCTTCTCGATTTCAATTGACTCTCTCATTTTGTGAGAGAACTTATGACTATCAATCGCCAAAATGGTTGCTTCGTCCCATTTTATATGATGGTTGTAAGTCCACGTATGTTTAGCCCAGCAGATTTATCTTGCTCGGCTTTCTCGCAATTTGTCTTGTGTTCCTTAAGACGTACTGAGAGATTTCGACCAGTTCACCAATGTAAACTAGACCACATTCACAATAACCTGTCTAAACCATGGGATGCAGGGGCGTAGCTAAAGGGGGGTGCGGGGGGTGCCGCACCCCCCAAAAAAAATGCTGTGTCCGTCGGCACAATAAATCGGTTGTCAGCAAAATGAATTGGATCAAGCCAACAGGCAATACCCGATTGGAGAGAGATTGTTTGTAGAAAATTTGTAGAAAATGCGAGATCGAAAAGATGGATAAGTTGACTGAAAGCTTGGCCCTTTTCCGAACATTCAGCCAAATTGGCCAAGAACTTATTACGCTAATACGCTATTTAATAGTATTATATTTTCTTGCAATTTTGTGAAATATGATACCATAGGAAACACGAAGCACATGTGCATGTTGACTGTTGATGCATCTGCGCTTCATTCCATCATTTTGTAAAGCCAGTAAAAGTCTTAGAAATTACACCTAACGGTCGTATAATACAATGAGAAATACGAAGATGATTTAAAAGT